TAAAAAAAAATTAAATTATTTTATTATCTTTTTTTTATTTTCGTTTCTTTAATGTTTCGTTACGTTACTATATTTTTTTTATTTTAATTATTATTTTTATTATTATTATATTACGTTATTATTATTATTATTATTATATTACGTTATTATTATTATTATTATTATTATTATTATTATTATTATATTATACTATATACCCTTATACTATTTACACTATATATATAATACTTATTTTATACATACTATTATAATACTATTTTATACTTAATAATAATAATTACTATTATTATCATTTATTATTATTATTATTTTTAGCCGCACATTATATTCAAGCACTCGAAGCACAGATACAGAAATTAAAGCAATCTAATAGTGGTTCAACAACTCCAAATACTTCTTCAGTTACGACGCCTCCTTTAGTATCACCTGTAATGTCGGTGAAGTCCATTCCTTCAGGTCATATACATATGCATGGAGGTGTAAATGGTAATTCTATGTATGCAATAAATGATTTTAATCATCAAAGAATTAGTGATGAAAAAAAATTACAACAGCAATTAGAACAACAAAAATTTATGGGTCAATGGCAAACTAATCGATTAAATCAAAATTATTTGTCTGAATCTAATTATCAACAACAACAACAACAACAACAATCACAACAACAACAACAACCACCACCACCTCATCACCAAAGAAATCTTTCTTATCCAATACCTCGTCATCATTCTCAATATCATTATCATGATCAACAACAATTAAAAACTGAAAATATGGATTGGATTTCTGGTGGTGATAAAAATCTTCATTATAATAATTATGAAAGTAAGATACATCATCAACAATCTTATCATCGAAGTTATCATCCTTATCATTCTGATATGAATACTTCAAGAGCAAGTCCACCACATTCTATGGGAAGGGTAATGCTAAAACATGAAATACATGATCAAACTTATAAATAAGTATGGTATAAGGCTATTTACACAAAAAAATTTAATTTCTTGGTTCTCTTTAACATATGAAATAAGCCGGAAACCTGGTTTATGGATATTAAATTTTTTTTTTATACCCGGTCGTGTTATTAGAACCTCATTTTGTATAGCCAAATACCTAATACTGTAATAATAGCGAGACGAACAATTTTAATCACGTGAAAACACGGTCAATAATTATGCATGTAACACGTTAGAAGCAATGTTGGCGAAAGTAGAAAAAATTAACGGTAGTTTAGATTGTTAGAAAATTTAATAACTGGTTGTTAAAAAAAAAATAATAGTTTTTTTTTTTTTTTTTTTTTTTTTTTTCTGAGAATTTTTAGAATTGTTTGTTAGTTTGAATGAGAAATTTATTAATTTGATGCGAAATAATAATACAAGTAAATATTTACAAGTATTACAAATATTACAAGTATTACAAGTATTACAAGTATTAGAAGTATTACAAGTATTAGAAGTATTAGAAAAAAAAACAATGTATTCAATTTTTTCTCTGTAGAAAATTCCAACTTTCTTGTAGTTAAAACATGTAGTTACACTATTAAAAAAATCCTTTTCGCGATTAAAACAAGATTTTGTGGAACGATTTTGTAAATCCACGCTGGTTCTTTAACCTGTTTATTTTTTCATATTGTACTCGGCTTTGTTTGTCCATCATCCTGTTTACAGTATCTTTTTCAAAAAAGTTAATCGGGTTGATTTTTCTTTTTTCTATGATTCAAAAATGTTTAACTTCCCGAAAAATGGGGGCTATGACGGAATTTATCGGGAATGTGATTTGATTGAAAGACCGCCGTGATTATGAAATTTTTTGTGAGAAAAAAAAAAAGATTTTCTTTTTTGTTTATTTCAAAAATGTATGTGGGGAGGAAAGAACACGAGTTGAGGCGCAATTTAAACATGTGAACGATTTCATCAGCGATCAAACTGTTTAACTGTTTTAAAAAAAAATTGCGTAATAACGACAAATCAGTTTATTATATATACATATATACGTATATACATATACATATATATATATATACATATATATATATATACGTATATATACATATATATGTATATATACTTGTATATATAACTTATATGTGTGTAGATTTTTTTTTTTTTTTTGAGGCTTAAAAGACAATGTAGCTAGCTTTTCGAGATTTTCATTTGGAGGCTTAAGAAAATGTGGGAACAGTGTGAAATAACGAAAGATAAATCATAAGTGTAACCAAACCTAATCTTGACGTTAAAAAAAATTCTAACTAGAGATGGCTTAGAAAATCTAGAGAGACTTAAAAAAGATTTAAAAGATATGAAAAAAAAAGATTTCGATTTTTTTTTTTTTTTTTTTGACAAAATAAATCAATACCATATTTACGCATCGTGTTTATGTTATTCAAAGGCTTGGGAAGTTTCTTGCCTTTTTCAAGAATATCTTGTTAAAGTTTATGCATAAGGCTGCGTTTCTGCTGAAAAATGGATGATAATTAAGGTATTGAGCAGCTGAACATCATATTTGCGTAATGGATTACATGATTTCTTTCTAATGTTTTCTTCAAATTATTCAAAAAAAAAAAATACTAAAAATCGGATAAATCATGTTATAGACCCGGTTCGAGACCTCGTGTACTCTCTCAAAAAAGGTAATTTCCTGTTTCATATTTTTGGCAACGATGTTTTACTAGGCTTTCGTGTGTGATCACAATTTCAATATTCACCATTGTTGTGTTAACCTGTTTCTTTCTACTTTAATTAAAAAAAAAAAAAATTTGATTTCACATTCTAACGTGAATATATCTGATATGTATTTGACACTAAAAAATTAGTAATTTATTTTCATCTTTTTTCTACTTGATTTTCTCACATTATGCAAGATAAAAAGATGTCAACATATCAGTCACATGGGTTGTATGAGAAGGGTATAGTAAAAGACCAACATCTAGTCGCGCACGAGCCCCCTTACACAAAAGCCCACCACATGTCTAGTGTAATTTTTCACTACACCTATTACACTTATTACACCTATGGCGCTTATAAATAACATAATAAAAATGAGGCACATTGGCTGATCAATTTTATTACTTTTTGACACGACATTTAACTAACCAAAGGAAGAAAAATTAAAAGAAAAAAAACCATTAGGAATTATATTGTAAGTACCCGAGCATCAATTTAAGTTTGTTTCACACGCTCTATTGTGCGTACATCTATTAGTATGTGTTAGTATTTATTGTATATTCATTATAATGCTGTTACATTAACATACATTAACTGTGGCGTATTCTACGTATATCGTTTTTTTTTTTTGCATACTAATATCGATATCAATATGCACGAAAAAAAAAAAGATGGTGTCAATTCTTACACTAGCTAAAGAAGAAATTATTAGATACTGATTTTACGTAATTTTTTTTTTATTACATATTTTAAATTATATACATACTTTTAAATTACATATTTTTTATTACAAATAATATCAAAGATTAATTTCGATCAATGATAATGATAAAGTTTTGCTGCTGCGCCAATTAAGTATTACGGTAAATATAATTAATGTCATTAAAAAAATAGAATAAGGAACGCATTGATGTAGTGATCAAGTATTATCTCATGATGACAAAAATAAAAATTTTTTTTTTTTTGTGCATTAAAGAAATACATAATTTATTGAAACTCATTTTAATATATATACTTCCACATAAGGTTCCGAAGGATCTTGAGATCTTATCATGTCGTAAGACCACAGGGGAAGAAAAATACTGTATATATCTTATTATTATTATGATATGTATTATTTATGATTTTCTATTTACATTTGACTCTCCTTTCCTCATTTACCTGATTTGTCATTCGATTACGAAATGTACTGAAGAAATGAATGGTGTGTGATACGTATATTACATAACTATCATGACTATTTTGGTATCAGAAGAGTTTACGTAACCTTAACGAAAGTCCTTAACGTTAATCGCCGAGATAATTACGAAAGAAAAAAAATAAAAAATCTAGAGCAAAAAAAAAAAATTTAGAAAGATAATCAAAAGTTTTAATACTGTAATAAAAAAAAAAACACTTTTTTTTTTAATTAGTACTGTTGTACTTGCGAATCCACACAACGCATATTTTAACGTTATGCTATCATATTTATACACAAAACAAAAATAAAAAATAAAATTAAATTATAATTGACAGAATATTTAGCATAATATTTAGCATATATATTTTGTTAACAAATATATATAAACGAATAAACTCACCAGATAACATTAATTTTTTTGTGTATTTTGTTAACATTAAATTTTTTGTGTATTTTGTACACTTGGAACAAATTGACGGAACTTCCAGAACGAACAAAATTGACATCGTAATCTTAATAACTATAATGAGTACGTAAAAAATTTTTGATATGCTTTATTGTTTTGATTACGTTGAAATTTATTTAATAGTCAAACGCGTAACCTTGTGTTATTGTTATTTTATTGTGTAAACTTTTTTTTTTTTTTCCTTAGTCAACTATAGTAGTAAACTCCGCACTTGTAAAATTTATAAAATATTGTAACACGGATTATTAGTAAAGAAATAATATCCGTGACTAATCAGGAAACGTTAAAAAATTTTGTGTTACAAATTTGTTTCAATTCTCTTACAAAAGAAAATAAAAAAAAAATAAAAAAATAAAAATTCAAAGTTTTTTTTTTACTTGAAACAAAAAAGAAAAAAGCGCGATAAATTTTTTTTTTTAGCGATCTTCATTGCATATTACAGTATAAATGCTTAAAAAGAAATCTCCATTTCTTTTTTTTTTCCAAAGTAGATCATTAATAAATTTCTATTATACGTAATAATGGTTCGTTTCAGAACAAAAGCATAAGGAAGATCTTTATTTCTAATAAATTTTCGATTTATGTTTTTTTTTCAATTAGTATTAAGCTAATTAGTGCATACTTCAAACCTTAGTTTCTTTTACATTACATTAACGTTAATTTTTTTAATCGATTTAAAGAGGAGATAAGGTAATTCTGATTTTGATAAAAAAAAAAAACTTTTTTATATTGTATTATTCAGTAAATATACAGTATATACAGTATATATACAGTATATACAGTATATATACAGTATATACAGTATATAATTTAGTAATAATAATATTAATAACTCAGCAGTCAGCAAAATAACTAAGTAAATAGTCAATAGCAAATAGTCAATAGTCAATAGTAAATATATATATAGTAAATAATAAATAATAAATAGTAAATAGTAAATATAATAATAGTAAATATTTAACTTATTAGCTGTTAACGTTATTACTGTTAATACCAGATACGTACTCTGTTAATACTGTTACGTATAGACGTATAGTGTTAATTCAACGAATACGGTAATTAACGTTAATGAGTTTAATGAATAATACGTGTAAATAACATTAATTCAATGAATATTATTAACTCTTTAATATCGGAGAAGTGAATGCCGAATAGATTGATTTTATCATACATTTTGATTAAACATTATGCGTGTACATTGAACTCTGTCTGACTTTATCAATTTTTATATATATATATACTGTATATATATAATAATTTGGGCACTTTTTTTTTTTTTTGCGATACCATTATTTTCAATATAACCGAAAGTGGAAGAGTGAGGAAACCAATAAAATTAAAGGAATCAAAGTTAAACGTAATCCTACTTGCTGAAAAAAAAACCTAAATTATAAAAATAATTCTAATTTTATTTTACTGTAAAAAAAAAACAACTGATAACTAAAATTGATAAAGTAAAAAAATTTAAAATCGATATGACTAAAAATGGTTAGAATAAAAATCAATTATACAGTTTTATCTATGATTTACCCTTTAAAAAAAGAAAAAAAACGGTCATAACGATAAAGTAGGACTAAATTCGATAAACTGTTTTGCGCATTTGTTTAAGATTGATTGGTACGTTAACTTAAATGCCGCAGCTTCCATGTTTGATTTTAAGCATTAACAAAGCCAAATTACTAAATTTGATAAAGATCTATCATATATATTTCCGGATAGTCTCGTACACTCCGTTTTTGAGTTTATTTCTTCCTGTAAAATTTGACTTATGCGAACTCAATGACGCAATTAAAATGCTAGTGTCAAAGTCAAAAAAAAGCCCATATTTTATTCTTGGAATATAAGAGTATGCGAGTTTCTTATCATTTGCATATCTGTAATTCTTTGAATGCCTAATATTTTACATTTTTACATTAATTGCATGGCAAACCAACATTTTCGTTTGCTTTTAATCGTCTGATTCAGTAATTCCTGTCGTGATTCAAGTGTGTAATCAAGTGTATAAACGATAAGGCTTATGCTTATTCACGCCTTCGTCCTCGTGCTCGTTGAACCCTTAAACTTTTACATCTTTTGATCGAATCAAATGATAATATTGAATCTTTATCATGCAAAACATGTGGATAAATAATTATCCCCTAAACCCTTTTTTTGCACAATGATATCATAACCTTGTTATATATTAAGATTGTTTCATTAAAAATAGTTATTGACTGAACTCCTCTGCGTTATAACTTGCGAGTTTCAGATTCTTGCTTATTTTGGAAACATTTTTATTCGTTATATAAGAGGTAATTACTGTATGATAACTGATAAGAAGAATATTACTTTACAGTATGTACGTACTGTACGTACTGTACGTACGTATGATAATTCGATAAATTATACCTGATAACTGATACTGATAACTGATAAGAAGAGTAAGTATAATGAATATGATAATTATATCATTTATATGATTTATGATATAGTAAAAAGAAAACATGAAACATAGGAAAAGTAGAACATTTAAAAATATCAAAACGGTAATCTTTTTATTTTTTTTCCTTTTGAACATTTTTGAATAATTTATGAACAGGTTTTTTTTTGATACTTATCGAACTCACTAACTCTAATGAGATATGATTGACGTATGATTGACATGTTTGTGACACATCATCGTGAACTATTTTCAATTTGTTAGTTGTTTTTTATTTTTTTTCAACTCTATATGCCCTTCTTTTTTTTTACTAGTTTGTATACATGCGCATTTAATCGACAAATATTCGATAAATAGTAGTACGATGACACATTACAAATTTACAATAATCCAATTATTCAATTATTCCATACACAAAAAGAATCCAATAAAATGTTGTGTTTGTAAAGTGTCACGTCATATTACAAACTTATTTATACTACACACTTTTTTCATAGTTGTATAAATGTTGTGATCGCTGCACAGGATCGCGTCACACTCACAAATCTTTACATCACACGGAAGTTACAGAATATAACTAATTGGTTGCATTTGATCTATTTAATCTATTTAATAAATTTAATAATTTAATAATAAATTTAATAAATTTAATAATCTATTTTCATCATAAAAGAAAATAAATAATATATTTTAACGATTTTTAATACACAAGCACGAACGATTTAATTTGTCATAGTTACAGCTTTGTTATATCTGATCATCGAGCTTTTTGATTATATCTTGTGAATCTACTTACATTGTAAACATAAAGAACACGAGCTTATATATTTGTGTAAAGATTTTTTTCTCACATCAAACTCGGTAGCTTGTCATTTTTTTAATTGTTTTAAAATTGGTTATATTAATATTATATACTTTTTATACTATAGATTATAGATTATAGATGTTAACTTTTTATACTTGTATACCTGTATTACTTTTTTTAATGTTACTTTTTTATAAAGAATATTACTTTTTAATGTTACTTTTATACCTTTTGATTTATGTGATTAAAATTTATTATATCAAATATTATAATTTATCACTAAATTCACTATCGCTATCGCAATTATATATTAAATAAAGTCAAAATAATATTAAAATAATATTAAAATAATATTAAAATAATATCAAAGTTCTGCGCAATTGTTCTCTATCCTGTTAAATATCTAGTTAAATTTAAAGTTCAAAGCTAGGCTTGTTCTTTTCCTTTTACATACCAATTATATATTAATGTAGAATATTCACACATGCGCCTTCAATCCTATCAGTGACTAAAAGGTCATCTGTACGCTAACTTTAAGATTGATCTTTGCTTCTTAAAAAATTTGGCTACAAATAACCATCTAGGGTTTTATTGTAAAATTTTATGAATCTGTACTTATCTGATTATATCACGATTTCCTCCAAATGCGCGCTAATTGAAAAAAAAAATTTATTGTGCTTATTTGTTCACGAGTCGCAACACGAGGACACCAAAATAAGTCGCGAACTTTGCGTTACTCCCTTATGCTCCTTTTATTTACTAGTTTTTATTATGTTTATATACTATAAATTTTTTTTTTTTTAAATTAACAATTATCCCTTTATAATGCAACTCTATTTCTTTACTTTTTTTATTACTATTACTATTACTTTCTTTGATGCATTTCGATTTTATAATCATAATGGCTACACTTTTATAACCTGAATTTTTTAATCATTCCTCTTTTGTATTCAAAAGGCGTCTATTTTCCTTCGGTTCTGCCCACTTTACTAAAAAAAGTTTCATTAATACTTTTTCCAGGTGAACTCTGTTTTTAAAAAGTGGCTTTCTAATACTCGCATATAAAAGTATTTTTTACAATACTTTGTTTCATATCGTGTATCGGTATACAACGTTTTGTAGTAAACGCCCTTTCTTTAAAGAAAAAACAATGAATTTTATAATAATTAAATATTTTTTGACTTATACAGTTATTTAAATACTGATTCATAATATACTTATATGTATATTTTATATATTTTATACAGTATTACTCTGATTTTCTTTTCTGATCAACAGTAGAAAGAACATGAGGGACGCGACAAATTAATTGATTTGTTATGTATATTATGTATATTATGTGTATTAGTGTATTAGTGTATTAGTGTATTAGTGTGTTAGTGTGTTAGTGTGTTAGTGTGTTAGTGTGTTAGTGTGTTAGTGTGTTAGTGTGTTAGTGTGTTAGTGTATTAGTGTATTAGTGTATTAGTGTGTTAGTGTATTATGTGTATTATGTATATTACGGTGGAACATTCTATTGAGGGTGTACACTTGATTACCTTAAAAAAATAAAATTAAATTTTTACAATAATATGCATGTTAATGTATAAATGAAATTATCAGCTATTTTTATTCTTTAATTTTTATTGGAATTATCTTTGGTAATACTACTATATACTACTGTACTATGTTTTAATCATTTAGTACTTTTCCTTAATATTCGCGAAAGTTTTCAAGAATGAGTCACGAGACTCTCTGATAGGCAAAAAAACTTTGTATAATTCGTATAACCGGGATGTCCGATTATTTGTTTTTGTTACCTTAACATTGGGATAAGGCTAGGCATAACTGATAGTACCTGATAGTGCCTGATAGTGCGTATGTACAGTACATACGTAGGTAGGTACGTACGTACCTGGAACCTTTTTTTCTTTGAATATCTTTCTATATTTCTCTTAGTTCATGAATAAACTTTATTATATAGTTATCAATCGTTGTGTAAAAATATATAATCTGTAATGGTTCGCCGATCACGTGATGCAAAGCTTTAGTGTATCGTAAATGATAAATATACTGTATATATAATTAAATCATTAATTTAAATGATTTACCCCCGTTCTAATATTAGTTGGTCCCTGATAGTGAGAATGACCTTGTACCAAATTTGTTATCGATATCACTATTTTAAAACTAATCATTTATACAGTATAAACACCCTTGCTTTTTTGTATTTTGTTTTTCATTAATGAAAATTAATACAGGAATGCGTTAAATAATATTAAAGTTTTTGAATATTCTAAATATTTTCACACAAAATATACAGTATTCAAACATGCATACAGTATTACTTTTCTCCGTTATATGTATATCTGCTTATAAAGAATGAAAAGGTTGTTTTAATATTTAAAATATTTTATTATTATTAGGTTAAATTAAATTTTCTTATCTTAGTGTCGTAGTAATAAATAAAATAAATCCGTAAATCCCGTTGGTTATATTTAGATTAATTAGACTAATATGATAATAAATCATGTTCAATCCTTGGCAAAACTATAAGGTTACACGTAGTATTTTTACGCGTGGTTGGTCACATTCTCTCATTCACGTGATATTAAGGTTCCATTTTATCGGTATTATATGCATGCACATATATAAATGTAAACACAATTTTAAATTAACGTTAATTGGTAGACTAATCTTTTTATATTTCTCATTCAATTCTTATTTTTTTTTTTTTAAAAAAAAAAAAAAAATCTACAATGGAACATTTAAGCGGTCAACAATTAATTCAACAAGCTGCTAAACTAATTGCTGAAAATAATTTAGATGAAGCTGTTAAAATTTTTAGCATTCTTGTTGAAAAATTACCTGATGCTCATTTACCTTTGTTGAGTAGGTGTACTTGGTACGACATCTTTGTTTATATCTGTATTCGTTAATTTGATCTCCTTAAAGTTATACATTATATATATAATTCGTTATTCATCATTTATTTTCATTCATTTTAAATTTTCTAGTTTGATTCAATTAGAGAGATATGAAGAAGCAAAAATTGATGGTATTTCTTTCATATAAATTAATCTTAAATAATTTTAAATACGTAAGATTTACAAGATTTACAGTATATATTAATTTTATATACCTTATTTTTCTAGCTGAAAAGATCCTTACTTTACCAAATATTCCAATTAGTGATGATATAGCACCTGGAAATACTACTTTACATTCTGTCGGTTATGCTCGATTGGCAAAATGTTATAAAGAACTTGGTCAGGTATTAATTATATTCTCATGATTGATTTTTTTCTCATGATTGATTTTTTTCTCATGATTGATTTTTTTTCTCATGATTGATTTTTTTTCTCATGATTGATTTTTTTCTCATGATTGATTTCTTCTCATGATTGATTTCTTCTCATGATTGATTTCTTCTCATGATTGATTTCTTCTCATGATTTATTCATTTCCTTTGAATTACTAAGATCGAAGAAGCCGAAAAATTATTAAGAAAACGTCAAGAACTTGAAAAAAAAGTAGTATCCCGTAAAGATATTGAAAATATGAACGTTAATTCATCTAATGATTCCGATGATGATGATGATGATGATAAAATAATATCAGAGAAATCTTCCAAATCTGCTGAAAAATTTAGATTACAAGGAAATGAACTTTATAAAAAACAAAAATATAATGAAAGTTTAGAAAAATATATGAAAGCATTTGAAATAAATCCAAATGATTTATTAGTTAATTCTAATTGTGCTCAAGTTTATTTGAAACTTGGTAAATTGGATGAAGCTCTTATTCATGCCGAAACTTGCATTCGTCTAGATTCAAAATGGGCAAAAGGATATTATCGTAAAGGTATCACTATCTGTTTTTTTTTTTTACTAAATCGGTTGACCTACATTATATATATAATATATGATAAGTCTATTTGTTACATAACAACCTATACTTAAATTCTCTATAGCACAAAATTTTACCAATGAAAAATGACCCTCTCGTAATTTTTGACATTAATTTTAAACCTAACCTAACACTAACCCTAACATTAACACTAACCCTAAACCTAACACTAACCCAACCCTAAAACACTAACCCAACCCTAACCCTAACATTAACTGGTTGTTATGTAACAGGTTGTTATAAATAGATTATTTCTATAATATATATTTTACATAATTTACTTTTATTTAATAGGCTGCGTATTACTTGAGAAAAGAAATTTTGTTGAATCAATTTCTGCATTTCAACTGGCAAAACGTTATGGTGCTAAAGAATCTGATTTGGAAAAAAAGATTGAATTTGTAAATAAACAAATTAAACAACAAAGCAAAAATGTTTCCAATAATACTTTTCGCAATTCTTTATCTAGATTTAAGTTATCTTCATTCACTATTACCGCATTAGTGGTGGTTTTGATTTCTATAATCGCTTGGTTTTTCGTTGACATCTCTATTTTTAATTACTTTAAAAATTTCTTTTATTGGTTATTGAATTCTTATTTTGGTGATATTTGGTAACTTATTTCATAGGATTTACATAGATAACATTTTCCATTTTAAAAAATTTTTTTGTTTGATTATAATTTTTTGATGTAAATAAATTTACAAATTAATTTTTCATTCATGCATTTATACTATAACATAATGTATCTGTGTATGTAAGTCCTTTGGTTCGTTTCAAAATTTAAAAACTATAGAATTTTCTTTTTAAAATCAATATATATCGATATAGATTGATTAATTTAATAATTTATAAGATAGTCTATGTTACTATATTATAGTTTATAAAATTAAATTCAAAAACAAAGTTAATAAATTATTCGAAATTAGGTTTAAACACGCGTCATATTTGCACTTAGAATACTTAATTATAAACAACAGTCCATAAAGTGCATTTTGTCGTGACTTTCTCTCTTTAAGGTTGTCATTTGATCAGTACAATAAAAAAATTGTCCGAAATTTATTTAAATCTTTTTTCCCTCATAAGTGCACATTTTCCCCGACGACGTGCACGACTGTATAAGGAGTAATAGTAGAAATATTCTGGTTCGTTCTTGGCTCAAAAGAGCGGTTCAGGTAACAAACTGTAGACCAGACCGAGGTCCATAAACTGGTCCACAAACTGATCACTGGATCATTTCTAACTCAGTCTGGCAAAATTTAAAGATGTTTCAGACTCTACATAATTAATAAATCAGAATTCCTTGTGAAAAAATTCATGAACCGAATTTCATCTGTTTTTAAAATTATATAAATAAATTTTTAAATTAGCCAATCAAGATATTACCAATATTTATTTAAAAAAAAAAATTAGCTAAAGATAATGTAGGCTAAATTAAAGTACAGTAATAAGTTTTTTAAAAATTCAAAATTTGCTTATAAGACCAATTTTTATGTTTTAATTAAAAAAATTTCTTGCTAAAATTTTTTAGAAATATATGCGAAATTACATTGCTTATATAACGATAATCTCATTCACGTGATTAAAGTTGTACTACCTTAACATGTAGACAATCAAAACTCGCATCGCTTTAGCTGATCTGTGCGTACGTAGATATTTTCGACCAAGATTAGTGAATACAAAAGTTATGACAAACATACAAGAAGAAGGGCTTGAAAAGGCTATTTCTGATGTAATAAATTTACAAATTGCATTGTGATCGGCATTGGAGGCTTTGGCAAGGTTTTAAATACGAATGGGGAGAAACAACGAATTAAGATTCTTAAATTCTTAAAGTTGATTCAAGTATAGATGAAAAGAACTGGTGAAGATTTTATTAATGAGGTATTAATTGTTATATTAACTTTAATTGTATTCTGCTACAGATAATAATTTTATTTATTTGTATATTCATGTAATTAGCCTAAACAATTACGAAGAATTTGTTACTTTCCAAACGTGATATTACGTTCTATGGGGTTACGAAAGGTAAACCAGTGATCTATAATTTTTTGAGGTATCAAATAATAATAATGTTAAATAAAAATATTCATTAAACGAATATATAGATGCCAACGGATATTGTAATATGGTTTCAAAATATGCTAATGATGGAAAATACCTAAAGGTAAATTTTATTCAATTATAATGAATAGATAACTATATATTGCTAAGGAAATAGTACTCGGACCTTTATTCTTACATGACAATAATATTGTTCATAAAAGATCTTGTATATATTATATTGTATCAATTTTTTATTTTTTTTTTAATTTACTAATACTTTAATCATTAATACTTCGATAATTTAGAATTCGAAGAATATCTTAATTCTTCAAAGAAAGCCAAGGATCCAATGATTGCAGATTTTGGACTATCAAAACGAATAAATGAAATGATTGTGATTTCAAACTCAACTGTTTGTGATATGCCAGTATAAGTCGGCCACGTCTTTTTATGTAAAGATATCGACGTAACAAGAGATTTGATGTCTATAGTATTGGAATAGTCCTTTGGGAAATTTTAAGTGGAAAGCCGCCATTCCAACACTTTGCGAATGAAATGATTGTTGTTCACATCTTCCAAGGGAAGAGGGAACCTGTAGAAGGTGCACCATCCAATATGTTGAACTTGCAAAAAATGCTGGGACAACGATCCTGCCAATCGGCCAGAAACTAGATTAATTCTCAGTGCTTTAAACCAACTTGTTTTTAACGAATTTTTGAAATTTTGATCAACAGCATCTTATTAAACATCGTCTTAACATAGAGAAATTCCTTCAGCATGTAAGGCAATATTAGCAACCTATCAATTTATACACGGATGACGAAATTATGGATGATTTTTTTAATATTTTTCGTCATTGCACTCCACAATGGTGTATGGCGAAATTATTTTCTCCTGGAAAAATTTTAAATTTAATATTGCCTGGCAAAATTGATTCTGCTGACGATTCTTTTTTTTC